ACGCCAGAGGGAGTACATCCCAAGAGGATGGACCCGGTTTTCCGCACTGAAAGCGTCAGCACCATGTAACACTCCACAGATGGAGAACAGCATACGGAGCGGAAGAGAGGATAGTATGATTATTAAGGCGATCCATAAACTCGCTCCCGGATCAGCGTAATGTCGTCCTTCAAATTTCGAGAACCAGATTACCAATGCAGCAATCATAACGCCGAGATTGTTCACTGCATCTCCGATAACATGGAGCAGAACTCCTAGCATTCCAACATCACGGCAACTGGATTTCGTCCTCTTCGGTGGAAGCCCTATATTGGCCTGCATCAAACGTTTAGCTGAGCTCATGCAAAACCCGACAAGTGTGGATTGTGACAACGAGGGCACACCTTGGGCATCCCTGCCTCGACCTCGGTTCTTATGGACGAGTCTGTTGAAGCATCCAACGCGTGTCGATGAGCATGGGAACTGTCTTCTAATGCCTTGACATTAGCAATGAGGCTGCACATCCAGAAAGGTAAGCCTACCGTGAAGAATAATAGTACTGATTATATTGAGACCCAAGCCAACGCATCCAACAATGAACATGAGTCTGGGATTCTCAATTCCTGTTAAATATCAGTAAGTCGCCTGCGCGTTGAAGGCGGGTACGAACTATGCAATGATATAAATCGCTCCACAGCCTGCAATAGAATGCTTATTCCCAGCGCAATGAGAAGAGCTCCGTTGAAGAAAGCCCCCAATAGTGGTGCTCGCTGCCACCCGAAGGCCAGAATCTTTGGTGGATCGTCGATCTCAGAAAGCTTTGTTTGCTGTGTCAGTACCCTCTATGCTCCGACTCAAGATCATCATCCCACCTTCAAAGCCGACAAGGCGACAACGAACCCAATCAGGTCAGTCAACTGGACCATTCAGCAGATATCACCAGGAAGATAAAGCAAAGCGTACATAATGAAAGGCATCTGCCACCAGAGCTAGCGAGTGGGTGTACAAGCCAACTGCTGGTATTAGCTTCACATCCCAGGGTTCATTAATCTGTGCAGAGGACAAATACTTGAGATTTCAGCAAAGAAGAAACATGATGATATCCCGATCACCAAGATCAAGCGCTGTGACCGCGATATGCTCAAGGCCATCTTCGGAAGTATTGCTTCAACACTGCTCAGATCGAAGTATTGAAGAAAGGAGCCGTATCCTAATAAGGGGAAGACTAAAGAGGCGGCAAAACCTTCTCACTCCCTTCTTCGCCTGCGCCTTGTGTAACTTTTTATGCCTCGGATATCTGCAGAGTTGTGCAGAGAGTGTCGCTATTCATGGCTGAGGCCTCGTGATAGTGTGCGACTTAACCTGGCCTGAATTCAGAACAGGGCTAGCATGCTAAATTACTCCTTCCACAGCAGGGAACATGCAGCTCTGCTAGTTCTCCTTTACTTGTTGCTCCTGAGTATCGTCCAGTCAACGGCAGAACATGCAGCTCTGCTCACTATTCAAGACTAATCAATTGCAATGAGCATAGCCATGATCGCCTTATATCCTACAAAAGGGTTTAAGCGGCCTTCATCCACCAAGCTGGCTAACCATTTCTGCCAGTTCCCGTGTCTCGAAACCTGCCAAATGTTTCTGTACGGGAAACGGCGTCGTTCACACAACTCTAGAGTGTGGAAGGAGAGCATCTGGTCTACAAAGAGCGCATAGAATACAAGAACTGGAAATGATTTATAGATGATTTATAGATGATTTATAGATGATTTATAGATGATTTATAGATACAAGTTAAGCAACTATTACTTATAGGGTGTAACCGACGAGAATCAAGACATAATGCGAAAGCAGTTAATGCTCGCACAAGTTAAACTCCCCCATTTCAAAGTCCCGGTTCTGTTCCTGCGACTTGTTGGAGCGCTCCTCCATCAGTTCCCTGCGGTACCGTTTTGCCTCCTCCAGGGTGATGGGCGTAGCCTCGAGATCCTCATTGACCATATTCTGCAACTCAGCCGGGAGTCTCTCGCTCAGCAACTTCCCGACAACCTCCTGCCGTTCCTTCCACCAGTCCTCCTGTTGAGGCGGCACATTCGCCGAAGAAATGATCGAAAGATGAGGGTCTATGAGAAAGAAAGCGAGGATCTTGCGATGACCTGGCTTGGTCCGATCTGCCAGTGCAAACGGCGACACCTGGTGCTGGAGGCTGTTCGGGAAAGTGAGCAAGCGTCCTTGACGAGTGTCCACGCTGCCTATGACCTGAGTGACATTGCCCTCATTCCAAGCCGCCTCATTATCCAAGCCGAAGATTTCCTGGAGGAATTCGTGTCGCGATTGCTCATAGGAGATAGATGAGACTTCTTCTGTATTCGCCCGTTGCCGGAACGCGAGTCTGCTGTCGGTGATGTTCTCGCTATCGTAGTAGTAGATGGCTGAAGCGCAGATATGCTCATTCTATGTAGGTTAGTTTGTGGTCCAGCCATCCCGGCAAAAGAACATACCAATTGTCCCTCGACGTGCCACGATCCACCCTCGTACTCGGGCTTCTCCGGTGTCAGCTCGATGTTGGCCAGCTTGACGATTACTTGCAACCCATTCTGGGCAAAATCCTCACGCAGGTTAACCTGGCCCTCGGCCTCGAGTACACGGGGGGCAAACTCGTCCGGTTCCGGGCGTCGGATGGGCTCTCGCTTTTGCCATTCGTCATATCGTTGACCATACTCGTCACTATACTCGTCTTCCTCGTTTGCCGGCTGCGGCTCCGGCTCGGGATGCTCGTCATATTCGACTTCGTCGTAGGGGATCCGCTTGTAATCATCCCGCACGAGAGTCAAGGTCTTGTTCCACAGCGGGATGGTCTGAGTCAGGATCTTTTCGATGACTTGGTAGAGCGGCTGGTGCTTCTTCGGGTGCAGGTTATTGATATACGATGCAATGCGACATTCGCCATTGTCAGCGAAATGCACGTCACAGGGAAGCCACTGGAATTTGCGGCTGTAGGGTCGATGGACGCTTCCCCAGTCGCGGTCGACAGTAGCAGTAGCTTCCTCTTCCGGAGGAACTGCAAGTACCTTGCCCTCCCCAACATGATTCAAAAAGTCCTCGAGCCCAATCAGTTTCCTGTGGAGAATGCGGGTCCTGCCATAGACGACGGGAAAAAGGGACGGGTGGACCAGGTCGACCACCTTGTCGTCTGATCCAGGATGGTAGTCTTTAAGCTCTTCAGGTACATCCTCCAGGGGCCGAACAGCATCTCTTAGCATCTGGCGCAAGTCTTCTCCGATGGCAGTATGAGATTTGACCACGCCAGCATCAAATGCCACGACGTGCTTGGTGTCCTGGAAGACCTTGGCTTTCCACTGCGCCTCTTTGATGATCCAGTTCATCATGGTGGGAGTAATATCCTCTCCACTGTCCATAATTTCCTTGCGCCATTTGGCAGTAATTTCTTCAACAAAGACCTTCATGTAATGTCAGCGATGCTCATTCAGGGAAGAAAGCAAACGCACCTTTTTCTCCCAGTCCGGCTTGTCAGTGATGGAGTTGAGCGCTCGCATCATCAATATCTCCCGATGGGTAGTCAAGCGTCTGCATCTTAGCTTCAAAGTAATCAATCGTATCAGCAAACGACTCACTCAGCGAGACTAGTCTCCAGCGCATTAGGGAACATGTCAGGAGCTCCCGGGCTCCAGTTCAAGGGGATGGAGTAACCCGGTAAGTCGAAGCGCGTGTTTCCAGACTCCATTGTCATTGAGCGCAATAGTATGCGAGGAAGTGGCCTGAGAATCCTGAATACCGAGAAGACTCTGTTCATATCATATGTGATGATATTTATACGGAGAGTATCAGAAACCGCGACGCGTTGCGGGTTTAGGCAACCGGCTGCTGCCTTGAAATTCAGGCAGGGCCAATTGGCAAATACGAGATACTCCCTCAAGAGGTATCAGTCAAGACACAAGCGGTGGTCAACTGGTTGATACTCCGTGAAGTCTGGCGTGCTGCAGGCACCGACGAGCAGCGTATGGACGTCTCGCTCAGGGGCTTGCATGGCTGAAACGCATGATCTCTGTCGCACTAGCATTTACTTGACGCACAAGAGCTACCCCCTATGAGAAGGTCCAAGTAGATTAATCTCAAGGAACGAAGGACCATTGTTATTATACTTCTCATCGACAATACGAAGCGCGACCATTGATCGAAATCGGAGATCTCGACTCCATAGTCGGTAATCATGCTGCTCATCGTCCAGCTCAGGTCAGCAATCTTACTCGTTCCATCTATATATCATGATTCAGTGTCCGGTGAATTGTATATCGCAACACTATAGCTAAGCTTTGCTCCTCCACAACCTAATTTGGAAATCCAGTCTAACTATCAAGATTCAGGCCTGCTCTAGAATGATGCAACCCTGCGAAGCAACCTCCATCTGCTTTCACTTCCGCGGATACCTCACTTGGACTCAGCACAACGGGCTAACACGAACTCGAAGCGCTTCCAGTAATAACAGCCGTACTGTTTATAATAAAGGGCTCCCTACCGCTGGTGAATGGCTCACAAACTCCAATCGCTGACAACCTGCTTATGTTCTTTGCGCGAGCGGTTCGACGGTGGTCACGTAGCGACAGGATGTTCCTCATCCTGCAATTGGTAGATTCAGTCTTGGATATTGAGGTACCAGGGGTATTCTATGAGTATTTTGTGCTCTGGATATAAGGTACCTCTCTACCTCTCATTTTTGAAAAGCTATTCAGTATTCTGTACGAGGGGTAGTGGGCAGGGTAACTGATTTAGAGATTTGATGACGTCATGGCTTATCGGTTGGCTTATCTGATCGTATTGGTAGAGAGGTATGGGTGGTAGACAACATGAGGGTTTTGGTAGTAGACGTGGTATCGCGAATGTATATATGGGTAGTTCTATATATGTAGAATGAGATATACACTGCACGGCATTCACCAAACAGGCTGCTCATGCTGCAACGATGCAAAAGGTATAGAACAAAATCACAAGTCTAGTATGAACGGAGTCTACATGTTGTCCTCGCTCCAGCGGCTCCTCGCCTTCATCCACGCATCGTGCTCGCTCTTCCCTTCCTGGACGGTCTTGCCTACTCCCAAGCCGCGCTCAACCCAGTCCTTACTGCCCATCTCGGATAACCGCGAAAGGGCACGAGCGAACGCGAATCGTTCCTCGTCACCGCTGAAGATGGAGGTCGATTTTAGCGCTTGCACTGACAGTCCTAGATCGTCCATCATCATGCGCATGGCGTCGGAGAGATCGGAGTGGTCCCCGTTTTCTTCTAGGGAGGATTTGACTTCTTGCTCGGACATGAAGAGGTTGGTGAGTGGGACGGCTGTGGTGAGGACTAATTTTGCCTGTTGAGAGAGGTATTAGCCGTTGCCTGACTTCAAGAAACAAAAAAGCAGGTTACTTACCCTGCTCTCGTAGACAGCATCAATGAAAGTGATGAACCGACGAGCCAGATCGCGTTGCTGCAATGTCATCCCCGGAACGTCTGTCACGATGAAAGCTTCATAGTTCCGCACCAGCTCCAGGTAGTCCGCCGCTCCCGTTGCGCTCCCGATGAGCTCCTGGAAAGTGAAACGGGCCGCCTTTCCACTGGCCGACGGAACCTTGATCTTGCGGCCCCAAACCTCTTGCGTCTCTGGATGAGGAGGGTCATTGGGATCGCCCAGGAATTCGTACCACTTCAGCGCGTGGCGATCAGCTTCAGGACCGAGCGGGTGGTGGTACACGGCCGCTGGTGGACGAGGGATTTTGCGGTAATCGGTCGGCGAATTCAAGTTGATCACGGTCAAAGCAGTCTTGAGAAGATTGATACACGGAATGAAGGATTCTCGTTGGATACCGTTCTTGTACAGATCATCGGGATGACGGTTCGAGGTTGTTACGAGCACGACACCGTGAGACATGAGAGATTCAAGTAGGCTAGAAAGGTGTCAGCCGAGGCCTTGCCTGAAAATACTCCAGGTACATACCGCCGCAAAATCATCGCATCAGCAACGTCTGTACACTGAAACTCGTCGAAACACAACACGCTGGACAACTCCGCGATATCCGCCGCGACCAAAGGCAGAGCGTCAAAATCATTACCGTACTGCATCTTCACCACGTGCATGCGCTTATGTACGTCCTGCATAAAGTTGTGGAAATGGATGCGCGATTTGGACTTGATGTTAGCCGGCAGGGTCTCGTAAAACAGATCCATGAGCATCGTCTTCCCGCACCCCACATCACCATACATATACAATCCCTTGGGTAGATTCTCTGGGATCTTAGTCTCTGCCTTTGCGCTCTTGCGCCCAAACAGCGAGCCGAAGAACGATGACTTGGGTTTCGGATCCAGCGACTCAACGCTCGGGTGCACAACGGTCGGAGGAGTATAACCTTTCAACACGTCGTGTAGGTCCTGCAGCTTTTGGACGATCACTTAATTCTGTCAGCTCATCGTCGCCCCTGGAAAACCAGTACAGGAAACAACCCACCCCTCTGATACGGATCATCCCGCAACCGCCCCTGCTGCACTCGCCCCTCATACTCCTGCAACGGCCCACCAGACAACCCAGCCCTCGCATCCTCCGTCTGTTCCGCAATACTCTCAGTCTGAGGCTGAACAGCCGCCGTAGCGAAGCGCCGCATATACACTCCGGTCCTCGGCTGCGCGTTCCTGGCATTCAACCAAACACTTTGCGCCTCCGCCGCCTGACGACAAGCTGCGCCATTGCTGCTATGTACACTCCGCCTACATTCTTCGTTCAGGACCCGTGCACGTCCGGCTCTCCTCGCCGACAACCCTGGGGCCCGGCTCCTCAGCGCCGAGGGAAGGGACTCGGCGCAGAGTTTCGCAGATGGCCGACTCATTTGTTCCTTATATAAGTCGAGGTAAGGGATGCTAAGCGCAAACAATCGTAACCTCTTCGTGTAAAAAGTATACGGTCGGTAGGCTTGAGGTACTGGGGCTTGATTCTTCCGATCGGGTATACTTCTATGGCCGAAGAATCGAGTGCGGCGGACAAGCGGGGAAAAGGAAAACGAGTCGTGGGGGTCAACAAAGCGGGTACGCCTTATAGCTTTCGGAGAAAGGCATCGGTATTCTTGCTAGTATAATTCAAGATCTCGGAAGACTGGAGTAAGAAGAGAACGAGAGCGCGTGCGCCAGATGCGCGTATGTCAATTGGGAAGATGGCAATCGAATTCCATCAGCGCTGCGTTGGCCTGAGGCGAAAAAGAACCGCGGAATTTCCGACGACCGAAATCATGTGACTCGGAACCCGGCAATTAAGACGGAATTGCTTTCGACGCAGTAGTTGTCAACATACCAAGCTCCTAGGAGTACAGAGTACTCCGTACGAATGTTTTGCTATGTTATGCTGGAGTATCTGGTAATGTTGAGAAAAAAACATATCACTATACGACTGCATGCAGGTAGAGAAGCCTACATAGAGGTGTATATATGCAAAGAAAACATATGTACATGTGATGGACAAATCGTCAAGAGGGTATGGAAACATCACAACAAGTCATATGCCCACGGAACAGGATCCAATGCAAAAAACACAGGGAAACAGGATATATCAACCAGGAAAAGTACATAACGGCATAAACATCAACCATGTCGGACATCTCAATCTGTCGTTTTTCAACAACAAACAGTCAGAAAGCGCTCAAAAGGCTCTTTTTTTCCAAAATAAACAATGAACAATAGGACAAAACCAGAACACCGTACACCGTCTCCACCAGTCGATCAAAATTGCGGCGGGGTAAGATGAGACAAAGGGCAGACGCGGGGGACAACAATCTATCGCAAACTTGCATCGGGAAAACGATGATTCTATGCATGCTTTCAAAAAGAGAAGAAGTGGCGGGGGGCTTTCTTATGCAAGCCCGACGTATAGGGTGAGCTTGGAATTCCGCTGCATGGCGGTGTCAAGGTCACTGTCGTTGTTCAGGTCCATGTACGCGCCGGATGGTTCGTCCTTGTATTGCACCACGATTTCCTCATTAAGCTTGAGACGATCTAATAGCTTCTCCCGGAGCTGCTGGAAACTGATGTCGCTAGGGACGCGAATGGCAATCAAGTCATCCTGGAAGAAAACCTTGACTTTCATGGCGCCCCCGCTTGAGGCTGTTGACACTTGGGTGAGAGAGCTGGCCTGTCGGTTCATCGGCGCTGGTCTGTCCGCCGGATGCGAGAGGGAGGGCTGATTGCGCTGGTGCGAAGCTCGGTCGGGGTGCGAGCTCATCTGAGCCTGAGATGACTGGCGGGACGCGCTGCGCGATGCCTCCTGCGTGGAGGAATGGTGCGAGCCACCGGAGTACCGAGCATCTTCTCCAAACGCGCTTGGGTCGATTTCAAAGTCACCTGGGCGAGGAGCGAATAGCTGACGGACCAGCTGGCAGCGGGAGATATGGGGAGGCATGGCCAGGAGCTTCTTTATGTATTCGTCCAGGTTCTGGCGACGGCCGTTGGAGATCGCATCGGTGACATGCGTCACAGGTCCGGGCATAAATGGTAATGTGCGGGGCTTGCCGCGATTTCCGGCCTCCTCCTCGAATTGGGTCAGAAGCGCAATCTGGAAATCGTAGAAGTCATGATAATAACGGGACAACTCCCAGCAGCGGCCATCCTCCATTTTGGCCTCAATAATATACCAATACTTGTCGTTATCAAAGCAGTACCGGGGAATAGATGCGGCGACTGGAGCGACCAGAGGCTGATGGTGATTCGGCATCGGCGGCTGTGACAGGTGTTGAGGTAGGGACGCTTTGCTCGCGTTCCGATTATGATAGCCCTGTACAAGAAATCAGCATGAGCATGCGCATCGCCAAAGGAAGAGAGCAAGGATGAGGACTTACGTAGGCATTTCCATTTTGGCTTGCGTGGCCGGCGCTGTTGCGCCCCATGGACATCTTCTCAACTCCAGAGGTCACGGACTGCATTGCTGATGCGGCCGAGTCAATCTTGCCGAGGGTGATGCTGCTGTTCTTGTATTCTGCCGTCATTTTCTTCCATTCTTCAACCCTTGGTACACCGGCGCGCTTAACTGCCTCCAAAGGATCGGTTACCGCTTGACCGGTTTGCATGTCCCGAAGTTCGATGAATGAGACGGGGATCAGGCCTGGACCACCTAGACGACCGATGGGCTTTGCGACGAACCACTCCGGGTTGGATTGGGCGATGACAATAATCGCTTCCCCTGCCTTCGCATCGAGTTCATCGGGTCGCTCTGCTTGGAAGTCATACTGGACGATACCATAGACCATGGCGCTCGAGCCCTTTCCTAACGTCGACATCCTGAGAGTCGCGGGGGAGTGCTGAAGTTGGGTGGGAGTATGATCGGGGGAAGGAAACCGAGCGGGACCACGATCTGAGAAACCCGAGTCGTGCGACTCTTTCTTCTTATGAAGATCGACCGACCCGCCACTATCTCTTTCGTTCTTGCCGATGACCTCAAAAAAGGAGACAGGTACCAACCCCCTGGCACTAGGGATGAGGGGATTGCACGCTTCGTACCAGTCCAAGTCGTCCTCCCTGCTGATAACGTGGAAGAAGTCGCCCTTGCTGAACGCTAATTCTTGCGTGTTCCCGGGTTCTGGTTGGTAGTCGTAGAGAGCTTTGATCACCTAGACGTGAAAAAAGGGACGCGCGGTCAATACCAACTTCCAAGAATTGCCAATGCGACTGGAATGAGGGGGAGTAATTTGAAAGGGGGAGGGGATGAAAAGTGACAGCCTAGCTATACTCTTTCAACGCTGGAGGGAAAGGGGGGCCGCAGCGGTTCATTTTGTGTTCGGGGGCTAGGATAAGGCTTACCTTCTTGGGTGGCAGAATCGCAATGGCTGACTTGGGAGTGATTGAAAGATGGTGGTGGTGGGGAGGTTTGGGGTCCTTTTCCCCTTTGAGAGATCGCCTGATGGCCTATATATTTTGAACAGGATGTTATTAATTTGCCATAGCAATAAAGGAGGGAAGGTGAACAAATAACAAAAAAAAAAGGTTTAGGTAACTAATGGCAATGATATTCCAAGAACAGGAATAAGAAAATCAACACTAAAATCGGAATCGGAAGAAAAGAGACCACAAGCGACAACCATAATCGAGATAAACGAGAGGCGGGGTATGGATGATTATGGTGGAAGGGGGGGCAAGCCGGCTGCTTGAAACGAAGGGGTTGCGCACAGTTCACTAGGTAGTATCAAAGAGCTTTGGAATCAAAACATACCTTCATTCTTTCTTTTCAAGAAGAACGAACTAGTGGAATCGTACTGATAGCACTGCACTCGACTGGAGAGGTTGGGTCAACGACAGCAGCCGTGTAGGTTGGGAGACTCTAGGGGATTGCGAAAGAGTGAGGTGGGTTCGAGAGGCAAGGCAGGAAGAAGCAATATAACAACCCCAAGATTAAATAGAAAAGAGTGTAACAAAAGGACGAAGTAATCAGATCTTTTGATTCATACAAAGAGAAAATGAGTGTGAGAGACCAAAAGTTGATTGTCTCTGTCTGTGTGCGGAATTGTGTGAATAAGGAGAGAGAGCACGCTGTAGTCAAAGAAATGATAAAGTAATGGAGATCTCCGTTCAAATAGTGATAATAACGCTGGTAAAAAAGAGTGTGGAGAGTAGTCTAGCCGTCGGAGTGGTAATAGTAGTAATAGGTCCCTATCGTGGATCTCTTGAGCTTTCTCTCTTTTCGCTTCACCCTCGTGCTCGATTACTACCGTGGATACGTGATGTCTGGTCGTTCTGGATTTGCGAAAGAAGTGGCCCGCTTTGGTGGTGGTGCCTTGGGATTTCCCTTCTCGCCCCTGAAAAGGGAAAAAGAAAGACTTTCTGGTTTGGGCTGGCTGGGAACCCTGTCGGTTTTCAGAAAAACCACTGCAGGCTGGTTGACGATGGTATTCTCGATCAATCAGCTGAGTGGGAGACAAGCGCGAACTTCTAATGACGATAGACACAGACCGTCGCCTAGCAGTAGTATTTTTGGTGGTATTTTTTTTTCACCCCAGCTGAAAGCCTTACGGCTCATGGGGCAGCATAAAGTACTTTCTTCTTTGCCTGGAGTAGAATACTATGTCGCTAGTTTCGGGGACTGTGATCTACTCTTTTGTAGGCACTCCGCATATAAAGACTACTGTGAAGGCCAGAATTTTCGACATTTCGAAGTTTCAAGCCTCGACAATGTTTCAAGTACTCTTGTCCAGAACTATGATGCAAAGGTGGCGGGATCCTTCCAACCGCTTCTCGGGGTTCAGCTAGAAAGGCAGAAGGAATACTAGGGACAGATACCCATAGCTATATGGTGGCGATGATTATATGTACAACAGGAGAATATAGCCAACGACCTGACAACGATTAAATCGATCATCTCAAAAGAAGACATGATTCTAAGCTGTACAATAGTGTTGATGGGTACTTATCGTCCCTAGCATCCTATGTGGAGATGCTGATGGTACAGTCCACTTTTAGCAGCAGCTTCCTTTGTTTTCCTCTTTTTTAAGTCAAAGTCAAAAAAGCCAATACCTAAGACTGCGTTTGAAAGGTCCTCATTAAGTCCATGGTAGATGGCCTTCACCTGAAGAATTATAATCCACCGTTTACAGTTGTTCTGGATTGCCTCGACCATGGCTGATACCCAAAAAGTGGACCATCCTCTCTTCTACGGAGTTACTTGGGTATTGTACCTTACAGCGACCTAATCTGGTAAAGGCACCAAGGCAGATTCACAGGCCACTGTTATCCAGTGTGTCGGAAGATGGCCCAGCAGTAGTCCCAACCAATCCGACCAGGGTCCCTTAGGGCCAATAGATTTGTTAATGCACACAGTCCTGGCGACCATCGGGCAGCATTACAAGATCTTCCACAATCAGTTCGAGAGAATCTGCTAGAATCCAGCAAACAATGTGCTAGTTAGCTGCTAATTTCCTTTGCGATGAAGACTTAGCACCGTTCGCCGAATCGGAGGACGATGGGGCAACCCAGCCAAGACCTCTTGAACGTACGTATTCCACCCGTTGCATTGTGGGATGGCAGCCACATGGGGTTTCGGTCGCCACTTTGGATTAGACTCTTCGTTCTTGGTAGCTGTGGAGGCGCTATTATTGGCGAGGATTCACGGCGAGAGCCTGGCCCACCACATCTGCCTATCAAGCTAATTGGCCAAGTCTCTACTGTCAATGTCAAATCCAAAGGCAGGTATGATGATTGAATCCTACCTACAATCTCAACTCCTATAGATAGATAGCTACATGGGCTGTCGAGTACTCGAGGGTATCCAGATATCGTCGACAGTTCAAGACTTGAAGAATGAAATCCTGTTTCTAGCAAGCCAGGACCACCTACACCAAACGACCCGCAATGCACCCAAAACGGGCTGCGACATCTCCCTGATAAGAACGTCTTCAGCAGTCGCTCCACTGTCCCAGACTCCAATATCTCAACCGTCTCCGCTTCATCCCAGATTTTGGGGCTATCAATAGGAACCTGGGCCGAGATATCTCAATTCCTGAAGGATAACATGAGCAATCAACTAGCCTATCCTCGTCCCTCGGACCATGGTTCATACAGCGGCTTCTGTCAATGATCGCTCGGATCGGCCAGTATATCCTGCCGTAGTTACACATATTAACCGGACAGCCTCAAGTTCGCACAAAACTATGAGGTACTATCAAGATCCTCCGAAATCGGCGGTCACAATCCTAGTTCACCGTGTTACCAGACTTTCAGAGTCCTGTAGAACGAGGATCGGATTCTAAATCAGACAAGGCCCAAATGACACAGCTGCTGCATCTCGATGCAGGTACCCTTGCATACTGGAATAGCTTTTCAGCCAATTGGGGCTACAGTACGGAGCATTTTATTTTTTAGTTTTATTCTTATTTTTTTTTATTTTGGACACCATGACGGCGTCAAGCAGTCCGTCGATCCTGCAGACTTGGAGCACTTAAATCATGGCGGTGTGATCCAGGGAATGAGACTCCTTCTCAATGAATGGCTTATCTGGTGATGGCTTCTTGTGCCCAATGACCTCAATCATACTGTATCTGCAGACTGGGTGTATTCGAAACTGGCCAGGGTCTTATCGAAGGATTGCAAAGATAGCTACCACTGATGCTGAAAGTACTTTTGACATTGCTAAGTATCACTAAATTACGAATACTAGGATTTAAATGCTAACCCATTCCCACAACCCATCCGTGACAACGCCAAATCTCAGAAAAAATAACGCTACCATGCTTCCAGGCTTAAGTGAGGTGATCTCAGAAGCCAAGAAAGATATATGCGAGACGCCGTCAAGGTCTGAGGGGCATAGAGGAGGCTGAAGCGGACGTGAACGGGATACATCGGAGGCACCTGGTGCCAGTTGACTATGCCGTTCAATGCAAGAAAGGGGAAGAAAACCAGACGAAATCAAGGCGCAAGGGTATTGAGAGCACTGAGAGACGGGAAACTCGTATATGCCGATAATCAGTGGGGTGTGGACGCTGGCTGCAGTGAAGAAAAAACTCGGTATCAAATCTGTCCTTTTATATCAACGACTCTGTGGGCTTCAGACTTGGCCGCCTCGAAGAGTTGCGCAGCCCTGCCGCTCGTGAGCAGCCTCACGGATCCATCTTTCTCTTGGAGTAAATCCTCAGAGGCATGGTCCAGGATAAAGCGTGCACTCTGTTCATCGGACTCAAAGCCAAGTTCCTCAGTGATAAAACGTATCTTTACGTCGGGTTTGTAACTGTTGCCATCAAGTCAGCCCCGCAAAGAACAACACACGACGCGCAGAACAACACTTACGCTTTACAGATGGCCGCAAGTGCGGAAAGTCGCTCGCGGTCCACAAACATGTCCATCAGATAAGCCCCCATATTAGGAGTGTCGAGGTAGAGCTGGAAGAAACGATGATAGTTTCCCAGGGCAAGGGCTGAGCGAACATCCAAAGCATGTTTGACAGCAGGATCACGCTTGTCTGCTGCTGTTAGATCGGCCAACGCATCGTTCATAGCCGTCCAATTGCGAGTGTGGATGAAATAGAGAATACGATACGCCTTAAATTCTGTAGGATGCCCACCGAGATTTTGGGCATATAACGCTCGCAGCTGTGTCTGACATTGATTATACTCACCAAGATCTCCCTTCTCGAGCGCAATGCGGGCATGAATCTCATAGACACTGACAGTGAACTCATTTCTGATATGCTGGACAGTCAGATCTTGTCGCAGAGATTTGAACTGGTCGCAGATATATCCATAATTGTTATCCTTCTTCCATTTCTTTTTCAAAAGATCCAGGGTCTTATGCAAAACATGCAGCGGTCGAACGGTGTCTGGATTTGGCGCTGAAGTCAGGCGGAAGTAGTTCTTTTCTAGCTCCTCGCACCGTCCAACAACAGGCCCCTGATTGGCACTGGGCGCTGGGGATTCCCCACGAGAGGAGGATGGCGAAGAGCCATATCTGGACCGCGGTTCTTCGAAACGTTTCCTCCGCATTTCCAAATTAGCTTTTGACTTACTGGGGTTCTTATGATCAACACGCTGGCGCTTGTCTGCTGAGGGATAAGTAGTTCGATCTCCAAATGCATGATGATTGTTAGTCTGCCTCCATGGTGGACAGCTGTCTTTGTCCCCGTACTCAGCCGATTTTCTTTTCCTAGAAACGTCGTCGGTGACTGTATCCGGTTTCTGAGTAGCAGTTAAAAGAGAAGCACTCCAACCAGAGACATCAGGATTGGTAAGGATCTGGTTGCGCTCGTTTTGAATCATGACTTGCGGTAGGGGCAATGCATCCCAGTTGATCTTCTCCAGCTGATTCTTCTCTGCCGCCTCAGTAATGACAGTCTTCAGTTTCACCTCCATCTCCTGGCGGTTGACTCCAGACAGTTGGTTCTCAGGCGCGAAGCTTCGTTGTACATATGATCGAAGGGGGGCTGGCCATTCTACTCGTTTGCGAGGTGCTTGAGTTGTTGTTGGCTGCGGCTGAGGTGCCATGGCGGTGGTAGAGGTATGAGCAAAGCTACGGCGTGCTTGAACAGGGATATATGCAGGGGTTGCTAAGTCACAGTTAGAAATTGAATAGGTAAATATATTAGAGTAAGAAGACACATACCGTGTGCAGGAAAGTGAGGGGCCGTAGCAGTAGCGGACGCGGTAGCACGCCAAGGTGGGATACCGGAACTCATGATGGCAGAAACTCGTACAAAAGCATAAACAAAATGAAGATGTAGGAAATATTGTCAAAGGAGAGAAGTATATCAGAATCGAGAAGAGAAGAAAAGGATTAGACTACGCGTTGCCTGGGTCTCGAGGAGAGTGATCAAATTTCCTTCATACACACCAGTAAGCTGAGAAGTTGGCCAGGTCACCTCAGAACTTATATGGTTATGGGAGATAATAGCCCAACTAGCAGGTGATGGTGAGTGAAGTTGGAGTGGACGAAGCTATCAAGTGATAGAAGTCGCTTTGACCAGTAAGTCCAAGTGCAAAAGTGAGGCCTTTGAAAGGAAGGAGAGTCAAGGTTCTCGCTTACTCTGTCTGGGCTGGTGTGGCGGAGAGAATGTGAGGATGCGCTAGTGGTAGTTCTCGCTACCTGTATCTCCCTATCTACTGCGAGCCGCCCTTAGTCCACCTTACGTCAGCGGGGTGAGCTGAGATGGAGCGTGACTTGGGATATTTCCTACAATTGGACTGAATTGTATATTCTCTTCACAGTTAAGAGGGTGGAGAGATGCTGGCTGAGCTTACTAGATGTTCTTCAAGTCTCTAGATCTGACCACTGCACTCCGTCCCTCATTATTGCCCGATGAGACTTTGCTCTTCGTCCAGGATGCGGTGGGGTTATATGAAGGGTGAGTTGCCAGCAAGCTGTTCCCCAGTGGTTCCTTGCATATGCCACTGCTTTGACATTCGGAAGCTTACTGGCGAGTATTGTTCGTATATACAGAAAGTTCAAGGTCCCAAACTATCAAAATGGCCATGCGTACCTCACATCCCACCGGGTCTGCTATGTCGCTGTTGACGAGCCACGCAAGTACTCAGTCGCCATCGACTTGAAGGAAATCGACCGAGCCGATTACCAAGTATGGTTGATGGTTGAGTCCGTACTGTCATTTGCTTCCGAGCTCACACTTTCCAGGCAGGGTTTCTGAAGTCATCTTCGAAAATTCTCTTGCATCCGAAACCCGCAAAGAATGACCTCAAATCGAAGAGCGCAGGGGCTAGCCCCTCTGCATCGCAGTCTCCAAAGTTCCAGTCCGGGAGATCGCAGTCTCCACTCCCGGCAACCCCATACAAGCAGCCGGCGCCGAAGCCTATGAACGTGACCTGGGTCTGCCCTATATGCTCGTTCACTAATCCGGTACCTTCTAATTTCGACCCAGCAACGGCTACTGCTTCTACACCCTTGCCGCCATGCTTGGCTTGTGGCATAAAGCCGCCATTTACGACCGTTCTGAAGGCCGCAATCACAGCTGCCGCTAGCCGCGAAGCCGCGCAAGTAAATCCAGTTTCACATGAGCCTGGTCAACCCGGAAGCAATGATGATGGAATCGTACGCAAGCCTAATGCCTCGACACCGTGTCCCAGATGTACATTTATGAACCATCCCTATCTTCTGGAGTGTGAAATATGCGGGGCTCCCCTAGCCTCCGCAGTCGCCCGAGGAGCTTCTGTTGATGACTCACGTCGATCAGAATCCCCAGCGCCAGTATTCGGTCAAGGAAACATCGCCAATACTGAGACTTTCGAGGTAGTCAAATTATCCTTCCGCGGAGGCGGTGAAAAGACTTTCTATGAAAGGTTGAAAGGCGCCTTGGTCCAGCGAAAGTGGCTGCTCTACGATGCCCCTCCTGTTCCGCAACAGCCATCGCAATCACCTGCCACGCCGAATCTTACAGCCCCTGGTGCCGTTGCTGCCAATGGTTCCGCGCCAGCCCCACCCCGGTCCCCCGCAGTAGGAATCGCGGGCCTTGAGCAGCGGGGACTTGAGGCTCGTAGGAATAACGAGGTGGTAATAGGCAGCTCGTTTGAAGATCTTGAGGCCTTGATGGCGTCTGCTAAACGGATCATCAATCTTGCTGAAACGCTCGCCAGGGAATCAGGTATGGCCGGTGACGAGAATTCTGCAGCAACCAACGCAGTGCTCTCAGAATCCGCTGCCGCTCTTGGGATGACCACGACCAAAGATATGCTTGGCTCTGGTGCCGAGAATTTATATCTCTCCGAACTTTCACGGAACTTGGCGGAGTACCTCACTGACGATAGAAAAGGTATCTTACAGAAAGAAGGCGGTATCATGAGCCTGATTGATCTTTGGGCGATTTTCAACCGCTCCCGAAATGGGGTGGAACTTGTCAGTCCTTCTGACTTCCAGAAAGCAGCAGAGCTCTGGGAGAAACTGAAACTACCTGTTCGGCTGCGGCGATTTAAAAGTGGTCTTCTTGTTGTTCAACGCTACGACTGGAGTGATGAGAAGACCATTCGGCAACTGCAAGAGTGGATGGTGGAACTTCGTCAGATACCGCCCGCCGATCCAGTACCGTGGGACTGGCGTCAATTTGGGCGTGCCGTGACAGCACAGGAGGCTGCTCAAAGGTTCAAGTGGAGTGTCGGAGTCGCAGCAGAAGAGCTAGAAATGGCTGAGGATAAAGGTGTCCTATGTCGCGAGGAAGGCATCGAAGGGTTAAGGTTTTGGAGCAACTACATCACGGCTGACCTTTCTTCGATGAACAGCATTGATTCGATTGATTCGAGGGTGTCAAGCCTGGCCATATGAAGGAGTTCTTTGTACATATTGATATAGTGTATTCGGTAGCATGGGCCCTTTTACCAAAATGAGGCCGTTATGACCAAGAGAGATAAATCTTTCTTATTGAAGCTGCTACTACCTCGTTCTACTTATAGATATAATTAAAAATAAATTGTGCCGCTGTTCGTAAGGTAGTGTGCCTTGTGGCGAAACAGTTGACATTTGGTTCTGCAGCTATCGACCCCGCATGGCTTATCTACGAGCTCTCTCCGCCCCTTGGAGAAGCTCCCTCGCTCCTCATAGCTAGACTAATTCATCATCTCTGTTGTGTCCTCCACTGTCAAGCTTGGTCTTCATCGTTTCTTATTTTCTCTAGTGCTTGGCTCCAGCACGGACTTTTAATGAGAGCTTTAGCCTGTGAAAGCTGCTGTGATGTGAGGGTCTAGATCGTTGGCTGTCATAACGCAGTCAGGTAGGACTGCACCTTCATTATCGAGAGATCTGATAAGTTAATCCACTTAGCTCAAAGGGAACGTTCAAAATGTCATATACTTCACTGCTATCGAACCCTAAACATTTGAGGTGCTCGAGAGCCATTTCAAGATATTCTCAAGTTCCATACGTCACTTACCCCAAAGTTTCAAGCACGGCTTCAGTCCAGAGCCGAGGGATATGGCGATATACATACCATCGATATGGGAGCAGAAGCTCTGACGAAAGAAGGAGGTTAGAAAAGCATCTGCGCTATAGTCCTTCGAAGCTAAGAGACGGACAAATTGGTCACCGACAACGATCACAATCTTTATTCGACGATCATCGTCCGTGGTGGAATTCTGGCTGGGGATGGAGCCGGTTGAAATTCAGCGTTCCTCCAAATTGGAATGAACATGCGCCCAAGAACGGCTATTGGGAAGCACAAAGGAGTCGTTTGGAGCAGAGGATGGATCAGATAAAGAAGGAGATCGAGGCGGATCCTTACGAGGCTTTATTCGGGAGAAGGCTTGACCCATTTAAGTCTTGGGGCAAGCATGAGAATATTTTCTCTTCCCTGTTCCAGTCTCTTTTCGGTCATGGGTCAAAGGCAGAAGCCGAGCCTAAAGTAACTGATACGACTGCGCGCATGAAGACTGATGCCGCGCATTCATCTGATCCTCGACCTAGTGGCAAACAGTCAGCCAGCCCCAGTAGCGAGGTCAACGCATATAAGGAGCCGGCGAAGGATGATTTTGGGAACTATGAGTTTGATCCCATCACCGGCCGCATGGTCCCGAAGAAGGGGGAAACTCGTGAGAGGTCTCAGGATACCCCGTACACGGGAACTCCCGATTCATCGATTCATCCAAATACAGTTCAAAGTGAGGGCGCCCAGAGTGCTGGCTTCCTCTCCCCAGTAGACCGCTCAGAAGCGCACCCGGACGATAAAGGGGTTACAGGGGCTGCAGCCCATGAGAACACCGTGCAATCTGAAATAGTCGATGACCCGAGTCCTCAAAGTACCACACTAGGCCCAGGCCAATTTGCCTATGGCGACAGTCTCTTACCTGCGAAGCCAGGAAATTCTGATGAAAACATCCTCAAAGAGCCAACTGAGCCTCGGAACACAACTACGGCTTTTACAAAGGGGGTACCAGCATCGGAGATTGAAACAGCTAACGAGCCGTTATCAATTGGCAATACTCGTTTAGAGGCGGACAATTTGCCTCCCTCCGCTATTAACCATCAAAATGAAGGGTCATCAGGCGTCCCAACGGAAACAAAAGATCCATTAGCTACACCACATAGGACATCGCACGAGCTTAAGCAGCAGGAAGAGTGGGTCACACAGGCAGAAAAAGCTGAAGATCTGGATATTCTACGCGCCAGTGACATTCGCACACCGTACGAGCTGAAGAAGGAGGATGGAGATCCGGAAGAGCAACTAAAGGACAAGCGGCGCAAACTGGACCTTGCCTTTGAGATGGCCGATGACCTAGTCAAAGACATAGATGCTCAAAGAATTCGGGAGAAGTACAAAATCCTTGAAGCTTCTAAATCAAAAGAGACGGTTTTGGAGCCACTTGACTCACCAAAGGCTCAATTGCACTCTCAGAGTTCGATGACTGCAAGTACCTCCCTTCCTCGTCCTCAAGAAGACTTTCACAACGTAAGGATTGGTCCAAATCATGAATCCGAGAGGGCGCACGATCAACCTAAAGTCTCTCCAAATTGTCCTTGGGCAACAGCAACATATCGTGTTCTTGTATACGACCCCTCTACCTTGCAGGTGGTGGAAGCAGAGACAAGCTCCTCACTGCAGTCGACCGATAAGCTACTTTCACTCGCGGAAGTACTTTCTCGTCTGAGCCACCCTGCGAAGTTCGTACCGTACCTTGCTAAAATGCGCGATGACGGGTATGAAATTATCTCTGGCGGCGAGGATATCCTTATCTTTAGGAAGGTTTCCGAGAGTGGCTCAGTTATGCTTTCGAATACCCCAAGCCATGGTGGTTCAGCAGGACGACTCACCTCCCCTCAATCAGACTCCGATGAAAATATCCGAGCGGCGACTGCTCCTTCTGACTCGTCTTCCAATCCAGCCATCGTAAGCACTGATCATGCGAAGGCTCGGCCCAGAGTTCGAACAGCACTCCGTAGGATGCTCATCAGTGGTGTAGCGACGGCGGGAACGTGCTACGCTATCGGTGTCGTTGTTGAGTATTTTCGCACTGGGGGGCAAGACGGACTGGGTATTGATGGATTCACCGAGTTCGAGTCTGAAAGGCGTCGCAGAGACCGAGAATAAGGTTCATTTTGGTTATTACCTCATGTGAAGCAACAATTTGTCACAACATTGTGATCATATTTCGGTGTTTGTACAGAAAACTCAGAACTTTATATTTACTTGCCTTCTGTTTCGTGTATGGTGTCCTATCAAATGGAATGTTGCAATGTCGCCAAGTCGAACTGATTGATTCAGAATAGCTAAATTTACCAGGATCACGCTGTCTAGGCTACACTGCCTTAGGACAAGCAAAGACCGGGCTCCTTGGTCTACAAGTCGTCGTCCTCCAATGAGTTAGCTTTCTCCTCCTCCTGCCACGCAAAGTCTTCGCACGGCTTCCGCCAACCTTTGAATCCTCGAAAGCGATCATGGATGGAGCTTCGCCTCTTTCCCTTTGTTTTGGCCTTGTTCTGTTCCTCCTCACACTTCTTCCTTTCAGTCTCTTCCAACTCCTTCTCCTTCTTTGCTAGCTCCTCTTCCTCAATCGCCACCCTTATGCGAGTGTCATGTACCTCCTCCAACTCATCGTCTGATCCTTCATCAATAGGGTAATTCTGGAACGCCTTCTGCAGAACGCCGCAACGAGCCCGCCCGCTCATCATGTAGATGAACAGAGCCACGATCATCTTGACGGCGACTCGAAAATCTTGCTTGCGCCAGAGGTCAAATTCGCGGCTGCCCAAGACTCGAAGATTACGTGGATTTGGATCATTGTCCAGATTCTTCGCGCTAAGCCACTCCACCTGTTGGCGAAGTCGTTCCAGGTACTTTCCAGTGTAGAATCGATCGTAGGCAGTGCTCGGATTGGGGTCTATCACATCGGCGTCTGAGGAGGAACGGTTATGTCTTCCGCTCCACAGATGGGACGTTTTCTGACCGAGGAAGATGGCACGGAGGATATGCAGCCTGGAGCCGTGGATGCCAATCAGATAAACCTCCTGGTCCGGGATCTGATCCCCATGGGGCCGCAGACGGGAGATGTTAAGAAGGAGCTGGCCAAGCATGAGCTTGAGCTTGTCCTCGAGGGCCGATCTGAGAGATATGTTTTCCAAAGACTAAAAGCAGGTATTAGCGATCTGAAAGGGTTCTGTGGATTGAAGGGAAAGCTTACCGCAGACACAGGCAGAACTGTAGGGCAGACCTTCTTGTCAGGATGGTGATCCAAGCCGACCAGTCCAGCTGTGAGAGGACCATCTTTGTATCTCTCGCTGTATCCGACCCAATATTCTAGCTGGCAGTTGAGCAGCCTCGTCCTAAAGCGGCTGTGAGTGCAAGAGTCGGGAATGGCATGCCATGCCATGGAGAAGCTACTGACCGGAAAAAGAAGTAGGAGTCGCTGTCGTCCGTCTCTCTGGTGATTTTGAACGCTTCCAAGATCCCTTGCAGAAGAGCATACACGACTTGTCCCTGAAGTTTGACCATCTCATCGAACTTGGACTTGCTTCCCCCCGCGTCCGTCGTACCGTACCCCTCGTCCTCGTCTTCATCTTCGTCGTAAAGAGAGCCGAACTCGGGAAGTTTTCTGAGGGTCATGAAGACGCTTCGAAAGTGGATGTCGACTGGAGACCATTTGTTTATGTCCACGTCGCGGGCATCGTCAGCATTGCGAAAGCACCAAGGTGTACGCTGAACAATGACTGCAGATACATCAGTCAGTGACTTCCTCTGTCAGGACGTCTTGAGAGAGCCAAAACATACCAGTTCTCTCAGCTTTCTTCAGATAGTAACTAGGGATGATTCTATCATCGGGAAGATCCAGGAAGAACTTCGCAGTCAAGCCATGTACGCAGACCTCAACAGGGCTCTTGGACTCGGGAGCTGGTCCTTGTCCACGCATTTTCTTCCAGTCAGGCTCCCAGTCCGGAATGGACTTCCAATTCTCAGTCATCTGGAGAGCTAGATTTTGGAGTTCTGGAAATTCTGGAATGGTTTCCATGCGTGAGCGATAGCGAGTCATCTTTCTGGCGGGGCATGTTCCGGATCATTCTGGTGAGAGACCTGAGGGCTGGTGTTGGGTTTGAGTAGGAGGGCATCTTGCACATTCACACATTCACTGCTGCTCTAGACGTGTCATGGTGTGAGAGGGTTACGATACAGGCACTTTTGTGCATGCATACTTCCAGGCCCTCTGTATACTTACTTGAATTCAGTATATTAGTATTTTGCCTTGAGTTAGATATAGATATTTACAATAGTCTAGATTCTTCAAGGAATGACGACAACTCTGATTTGAAGCCAAACTTATCTCGTAGATCGGTGTCTTGAGTTCATGTTATGATGCCATCTCCATACACATAAAGAAGAATATATCTTCCCGCATTAACAGTCCAACATATTTGCCAGGTCCACAACTGTGCGTCTATCACTCTCTTGAAAACTCAAGACCCATTTCTTCATTTCTACAAATATCTGCCTATAAAACAATATATCCATCACCTACCTGTCAAGTGCATGGTAGACACCATATCCGGAGTCGTAGTCATAGTGGGGCGACATCTCCGCACGAATCTACCTACTGTCTACCTCCAGCTTTGTCACCAGAGAACCTCCAACAGACCAGCTTTCTCACCACCTTCAAATCCTCAACTAGACAACCTCCCAGTAACCATAACCATAACCATAATCATGGCTAAAACAATCCACATCCCCATCCAAACTGAAAAAGCCCCCCTCCCGCCCCCATTCCTCTCCCAGGGAATCAAAGTAGGGGACATGATCTACTGCTCTGGGCAAGTCGGCGTGGATCCCAGAACGGGGAAGATGGTGGAGGGCCCCATACAAGCGCGCACTGTACTTCATTCCCCCCCTCCTCTACAATTCTAGAGAGATGAAATGATGAAACTAAGGCAAAGCAGAAGCAAATCCTACATAATCTCTCCGCTGTCCTGGAAGCAGGCGGGTCGAGTCTGCAGGATGTCGTCAAAGTGAATATCTTCCTGGCTGATATGGGGGACTTTGCGGCTGTGAATGAAGTCTATCAGGCGGCGTTTGGGGAGCCGAAGCCGGTGAGTTTGCTTCTATCCATTTTGCTTTGCGTTGGGAATGGGAAGAGGTGGATGCTGATGCGGATGCTGATGTATGACTAGGCGCGGACTTGCGTTGCTGTTAAGACGTTGCCGTTGGGTACGGATGTGGAGATTGAGTGTTCTGCGGTGGTGACAAGAGGGAGGGATTCTCGACTTTAGGTCTTGGTATGATGATCGGGAGGTGTTTTGATGTGTTGGCAGGCGTGATAGGTAAGGTGTCTTGTGGTAACCGTATATGGCGGTGTTGATGTGGCTGGACTGGATGGTATTGCTAATCTTTCAGAGCAAAACGTGGCTCTATGGACCATGGCATATCTGTCTGCATGGCTTAGATCTGAGATAGCCATGTACGATGTTAGTAGTCTTGGACCTGCAGTAGGATGAACCAGAGGAGATATGGTTAGGTGTCAGCCAGGATCTACTACAAACTGGCTATTTAGCAGTTAACTGACAACTCATCCAGACGATTTTGCTGAAGTCATGAAATGGTATGCTGAGAATAACACCATACTCTGTACCAATGGGAGCCATAAAAGCCTGTACCGTGTAATGTGTAATATAAAAGTCAATTGATCCGTCCATCAATGGGACATTTGCTTAGTAAAGTGGGCCGTTGTAGGTCATTTTCAGGAACAGGTTTAGCGTCATTTTTCCAACTCAGGTACCAAGTTTGGTAAATCTGTGTTTACCAAGTGTCGTGTCTTGACGGTCACATTTTTGTTCGTTTCATCAAGGACAACATTTTCTGATGCATCATCTATCATGAAAACATGGCTGACTCTAAGCACATGGGGGAGGAATGTCCAATGACGTGGTGTTGTGTTGGAATCGTCAAGATTGACGGTACTGCGTGGTGCCTGGAATGAAGTTCTGCCCTGACTTGAGCGTGATGCTATGGATTGCTTGCTGGTGTCTCAGGAATCAGGGACAGCTAAAATATCTACTCTGTAAGATATTGTCTATCGATTGCTGCCATTGATACTGCATCAGGCCATGGGCTCCGCTGTACCTTTACTAAAGGTCGCTAATCTGTCCAGGTGGCATTTGCTGCTTTGTCGCCTGTACTAAGTGGCTTTCAACTGTTCATTTTCTAGTAGCTCTCAAGATAGCACACTAGAGGTGCTCCTTGACAGCAAATATGCAATATGGCACTCCGTTGACTCCGTAAGTGTCTGTACCAGGCTCGGAGCGGTCCAGCCGGAAGGGATGAAAGGACGACCGTTTCAGCCTCCCACGCCGGGTCGCTTACGGAACTGCAACCTGCTAGGGGAAAAGCATGTGGAGGTAAAACATCTCCTTGTGGACAGATCATAGAGTTCAGGAGGAATACCTGGCACATCGCTGGTCCAATAGATAGATGAATAATCTGTTGGAACCTGGAAGCTGGTATGATGATTGACATGCACAATGTTCAGCATCAGGCTATCGAAGTTTAATCATCAATAATCAGTTTACTTACAGTGTTCCTCACGCTATGACCGAAGTTAATCGCCGAATGGAGTGGGCGTTAGACTCGGTGGAAGACGAAATGAGAAGTTGATCCCCTAGGTTCCTCATTCGGGTCAATGGTGTCGGTCGCTATGACACGCTATGACACCCTAATGGAGGGCTTTACTGCAAATATGTTAGCGTATGTCATGGTTCTCTTTGGACCATGAGGTCTTTCCCCCTGAATACTTAGTGGTTTGTTATTGTACTTCGTGAGTGCTGACTCGTGTTTCTAGCGATACATTTTCATAGAGTACGAAACTGATGCCCCAGGTTAGGAATGTTGTCATCGCCAGGTACCTTTTGGCAACTTGAATGAAGTGTCCGTAGTCATAACCATAAGGCTGTGCGTTTAATCTAATTTATCAGACAAGGAGATCATCATTTAAGAGAACCTTGACTCTGTTCATTCCTTCGGCTCGCACTGAGTTAGCCATTATTAAATCATCATACCACTACTGTATCACCACGCACCATAATACTCCACCATATTTCCACAATTTATCTTGAAAGTCGGCATAAGTGGACGACTTGTGGTCCACACACGCACTAAAATGACGCCGTCATTCTAGACCTTGCGATGGACCGAACCTTGACAGAATAGGCTTACTGCAACGCAGCATTAGCAAGAGGCTGGTGGGTTGGTTGGATGGAACATGGGTGATTGGTCGAGTGGGCTGTGGAGGCCAAGTGCGGGAAATGCCGGGAATTATGATGAGCACGCCTGGCCAGCAGATCAGCATGCATTGTAACAATTGCAATGGGCATCAGCGATGATGTGGTAGTACAAGACTTCTTCGACTTTGGTCAACGACCAAAGAAAGATCAGTCTCCAAGTCTCGGAATCAGCCTCCCGTGGATAGATGGAGAAACTGAGGAACTCCTCCATTGAACTTGGGAACTGCATGTTTTCTTTGTTCCAGTTTCATTCAGGGAATGTTTAATCCTGCTTCAAAATGCTTGTGATGTGCCGGGCCTTTCAACACTGCCACTGCACCGCTTCCTCCTGTGCTACAGATCGCCTACAGTGGTTATGATTTTGATTTGTGTGCCTTTGGCTTGGAGGCATCTCTTCATGACTTGCCTTCCTACTGAGTCAGGGTCTTGTTGATCCAGATACACCATGGAGAATCTAGACTTCTCTTCAGAACTTCTCCCTTCGACTCTGATCGACTCTGTTGGCTGGGCCAACTCAAAGAGTTCATAATACCGAGTGAGCGTCTGTAAAGGTGCCAATGATGACTGAGATTAACACTGGAATTACAGATTAGTACTGTTGTGATTTTTCTGAGGAATGTTATCTGTAGAATTTGAAAGTGGTATACCGTTTGGGTAGGCAGTGCTGCAGTAGCCAGCCGCCGCAGTATGCCTTGCTGACTTTCATCATCTCCTCCACAAGAGAACCATCCGGACTGATAGATTGGTTGCATCACCACGGATGTCTACAGATAACTACATCAGCTGTAAGTATTGTAGAACACTGTGAAGGTGCTGTCAATGCCAACATCTCGAAGAGCAGTTACTCAAGTTATCTACTCCGTAGGTGTACAACCAGAAAGTGGTGCGTGTCCATAGCGTGTGCCTTTACTCTCCATGTTAACGAGCAGTACTATGTATTTCTGTAAAATTTCAGTAATATTCGGACTGCTCTTTCCATTTACACGGCTCTGTACACTGAATTGGTGGTAAATATGGCCAACCCCTGTATGATGATGCGGTATGGTAACAATAATAAGTTCCTCCTTTTCTTTTCCACTTGCACTGCGCTAACAACGAAAATAAACCAGGCTAACCTCAAACTAGTCAAAGATAATCCTCCATCTCCGCCTCAATTAATTTCCCTTTCACCTTCGAGGTCCCTCTTTCTTTAGTCGCTTTTCGTCTTTTCAAGTGCTGCTGTCTGTCCTGCCTTCTTGTCACTCTTTTTGTTCTTTTCCCCGTCATCTTTTATTCTCTTCTTTTGCTCTTAATTATTTCGTCTATCTCCCGTCGATAGTCAGTGCTATTGTTCATTGACGTGGCCCATATTGTTTACCGTTGGGACCTGACAAGCGCGCTGACTCCTTGCATCGCATCCACACCCACCGGCCCCCCTCTCTCCCACGGTCGCGCCTCTCGCTTCTACCAGAGATCCGCCAGTCCTCCTTACTCAACAGGTACTTTTATCCATCGGCCTCGTCCACCAACACCGTCACCCACCTCCTCCACCTCATATCCACGACAATAACGCGGTCTCTCTTTTCTTTTATTAATTTTTGACGTTTCTAATCTAGATCTCGTCGTTCGTTCCTTACAGCACTCACATTCGTTTTTGCCAATTCGCTTTGGGGAACAGTCGATCAATAGCTTCCCTTGTCGCTCTTTATTCGCATTGTTTATACACTCGTTCTTTATCACGAATTGATCAGCTTTGACGTCGACGCCGCTATATCGCTACCGTCCCGAACCTTGAACTCGCATCATCAAAGTATTTGCATCGGATACAGTCGATCGCGCTGTCCGTTGTCGATTGTCAGCAAGGGTGCCCGGCTCGAAGAACCTGCGATTGCGTCCCAACCACCTAGTTACGTACCGTATATACAATTTTGGACGCGATAGCAGCATTTCCCCTCGCCCAGCCAGCTCCAAGACCTGCATCGATGCATTGCCGAGCGTGACGGATAATATTGAGCCTCTCTCGTGATCTACCTTTGACTATAGGAGCCCTGCTGAGCTTTCGGCTCCGTCCATTCCTTTGTGCATCACTACGGCACCGTCAACCCTAGCCGTTCCTTATCGCGAGATATTACTTTGGTATCCAAACCATGCGTCCTGCGACTCATCTTGTTGCGGCCCTCCTGTCCCTGGGAGGTCTCGAGCTTGTCGCGGCCGAAAATGCTCAGGAATTGAAGCCTCGCTTCATTCCCAAACAACTCAAAAGACATGTCGTCCATGGACATGACTCCTCTGCCGCTGCATTGTCGAACACTGACACTCACTTGGATACAAGGGCTGATGTAAACCCCTTCATCGCTTACTTCAATAGCCTGCTTCAAAACGGCGCCGCGACACCATCCAGCACCCCGCTCGTCTCCCTGCCCATCGTCGTCTCGGTAGATGCCAACGGTGTCTCTCACACCATTACCCCAACCCCCACACCTCCCCCTTCAGCAGGGACAACTTCTGATGCCAAGTCCGGTTCAACGGCCGAGCCGTCATCGCCCGAGCCATCTTCTGCGGCTGATCAGTCTGCTCCGAACAACGTTCCCGCGACGACTCCCTCAACGGCGCAGACCTCGCCTCAGGCCAAGGCAGACCCCTCAGACAACTCCCAAACTACACCAGCCTCATCAACTCCTGCCACAAGCAGCGGAAATGTCGTCAGCGACACCTTGGGTGGCGTTGTCGGCGGTGTTCTGGGAAACCCGAGCAGCTCAACCAATACCAGCCCTCCAGCAAGCTCGCCTGCCACGGATGGATCCAAGACCCCTGAGAGTTCGACGACAACTCCTGCATCAACAGTGCAGACCTCCCCTCAAGGCAAGGCAGACACCTCAGACAACTCCCAAATTACACCAGCCTCATCAACTCCTGCCACAAGCAGCGGAAATGTTGTCAGCGATGCCTTGGGTGGTGTGGGTGGCCTTGTCAGCAGTGTTCTGGGAAACCTGAGCAGCTCAACCAGTACCAGCCCTCCAGTAAGCTCACCTACCACTGATGGATCCAAGACTCCTGAGGGTTCGACGACAACTCCCTCATCAACAGCGCAGACATCTCAGGGCAAGGCAGACACCTCGGACAACTCCCAAACTCCAGCACCCTCATCAACTCCTGCCACAAGCAGCAGTAATGTCGTTGGCGATGCCTTGGGTAGTGTGGGTAGTGTTGTTGGTGGTGTTCTGGGAAACCAAAACAGCTCAACCATTGCTGTTCCATCCGTCACTGAATCCAAGACCCCTGGGGGTTCGACAACCGAGAGCACTGATCCCAGCACAAACTCTGCGACGCCAACAGGTTCCTCATCTCCCTCTGCCCCCTCTCCTGTTGAAGCGACTCCGACCGCAGCTGCAAGCTCGTCCGGCCTCCTTGACACTGTTGCCTCGGACCTCTCTGGAATTCTGCCTGCAGCTTCCAGTCCCCTTGCGTCCGGAGCTGCCACTACCAATTCGTCCAACACTGATGGCACTGTTACCCCCTCAACAGACGTTATTCCCTCTTCGACAGGCAACAACTCTTCGGCAGAGGCCAGCCCCTCCCCAACTCCAAGCTCGAGCGGCTTACTCGATTCGCTGACCTCTGGTGTCCCTGACCTATTGCCCGGTTCTGCTGCATCATCCTCAGCCGCGACCAACAGTAGCAGCGGGGCTGAGACTCCGGCATCCACAGACCTTGGTCAGTCTACTATGCCTGTCAGCGTCCCTGCTGTGACACCCTCCGCCACCAGCTCGAGTGGCCTGGGTGGAATTCTGGGTCCTATCCTCGGTAGCGCTGGTAGCACTGGAGTCATTCCAACCGCAAGCACTCCCACCAGCAGTTTCGTTGGCGTCCCCACCGGCTTGACTAGTATCCTCATCCCAGGAGGCATTAGCGGAACTGAGACGCCAACTTCGTACACTCAGATCAGTCCTAGCGTTCCTACAACTGCTCCTTCAGTTACCAGCACCGCTGTCATTCCCGGTAGCTCCGATACTGCTATTGGTTCCTCGATTGCTATCACGGGTTCCACCGGAGTGAGCTCGACTTTGCCTACGCCTACTATCAATTCCAGCAGCTCGGCAACTCAGACACCCTCTACAACCGAGCAAACGACCCCAAGCCCGACAACCACGCTGGAGACCACAGCCGCCCCGACCACCACCAGCACCACCAGTACTACTCATCCACCCGAAACTACCACCACCGAGAACACCGACTTTGTTCCCTCCAGTATTCTGGTGGAGCCTACAACCACGACTCAGCTCTCGACGGTTGAGACCGCTACTGGCACCAGTCGACCCGCTCAGTTGCCTGGATCCATCTCGCCGGCCAATGGTCTGACCAGTCCTCCACCGGACTCTACCTTGATTCAGATCGGCTTCAATGGCAAACTACGATACAGCTTCGTTGCCACGACCCCGCTCTCTTCATCGCAGATCTTCCTGTACGTTCCACAGGGACTGATCTATGCTTTGGAGATTCTCGGCAAAGATATCTCGATGTTCGCGATCCAGCCCTACGACAACTCGGCCAGCACCGGGTACATTGCAACCGTTGCCTTGGCTTATATACCTACGGACAAGGTTGACACATTGAGGAAGCTGCTCCGCAGTCCATTGTCCAAACTCTACCAGCAGCCGAACGAGTCGGTCAAGACTTTGTTCTCAATGATCGATCCTTCCATCCCTCTTGTTGTCGGAGAATCCGGCTCATCTAGTGGCAGCGGATTGTCTAGCGGCGGTGGATACAGCGGCAGTGGTAGCAGCAGCGATGGTAATGGCAGTGGCAGTGACTCTGGCAACAACGCGGATGCCGGTGCCAGTCGCAGCTCTTCCGCTCGTGCCAGCTCTGTTGGCATCGGCGTTGGTGTTGTATGCGGCGCCGCAGCCTATGGTGCGGGTATGTTCTGGGTTGCTCGTCGCTACCGCAAGAAGCGTCAATTGCATCGCCGCTCCAATTCCACTATGGAGCAGACGAGTGAAGGTCGTGGTGCCGGTTCTCTTTTCACCGCTGGCGGTCGTCTTTCCCGCAACAGCCAGAATAGCCGGGGAAGTGGCCGGGGCCAGATGATCAGTGCTCCTGTCATGGCCGAGAACTCGCTGGGCTGGAACTAAGCCCGAGTATTGCAGAAGGAATAATAGAACTAAGCCCTACGATGTGGGTCAAAGATCATGGGCGGGAGTGGGACTCGCTGGAATGCCTGCCAGTCCTGCTGCCTTCGGAGATACTTTTTAGCTTCTGGATGTATTCATTTTTTTTTGGTTTGTGAGACAGCGCTTCTATGGCGTTGTTTATGTATCATTCTGTCTCTTTCTTCTACCATATTTCCCTATATTTATTCCCCATTTGTTCTTGCCAGACTTTGGTCTTCACTTTTTCTACCTTTTCACTTCTTACTTTCCTTTATGGTGCCACAGAGAAGTACTTACCTCCCGACACCAAGATCATTGTTACCTTCTCGGCTCGCATCGTCTCAAAAAATCAATTCCTCTGCTCCATACCTGGGTTGGGGGGTAGGTATCTGTGATGAGTGATGCCGTATACTATCGCCCCTGGCCCTGCTCTCCCTTGATGTCTTTAGTGTTTTGTTTTTGCGATTATTGTACAGATGTATAGTGTGAGTAGAGAGTGAACGAGTCGTGTCTAGGATATCTGTACCCCTGTGGATGCTGAATGAATGCCTGAATATTTATTTGACCGGTGAAATGTTGAATATGTTGAATATCAATCCATCTTGCGAGTAGTAGCTACGGATTGACACTTGCCTGCACGATGTCTATTAAGTCTAGATGAGTCCTATGTACGTCTTGTTCTATCGTCAATAAGATATATTAGGTACAACCCGGAATCATTGAGCTGAGAGCACCTCGAACTCCTGTACATGGCTGTGCGTATGCAACAGAGACGAGATGAATGACAAAGGAAATGTATCGAAGTGAGACGGAGTGTCTACGCGGCAGACCGGAAAATCTAAATCAACATACAGGCTCAAGCGCAGGCGCATGACCACATGAAACGCCCCCGGCCCAACACACCCAAACCCTAGCATTAAAGGAGAATAGAGACCCATTACTCGGTTTTACTCTTCGAGTCCGAGTCCGACCCGAACCCCAGCCAAGCGAGCGGTCCCGTTCGGCCCTTGGCCTCGCGCTCCCGTCTGCGCTCCTCCTTCGCCTTCTGCCGCTCAGCCTTGTATTCCTCCCAGGAGAGATTCGCGCTCGCGGCGACGGACCCGTCGGCTCCGAGCGCCGCGGATGAGTTCTTCTCCGCTTGAGTCTTCAGATAGTGCGATAGGGAGGGCGCGTCTGCGCCTGCGTCTGCAGCTGCGGGGTGAGCGGCCGGAGCGGGGAGGGGCCGGACGGCGTCCTCGCCTGCGTAGGCGCGGAGAGCAGTGCGGAAGGACCATTCTACTGCCTCGTCGACAGGTTCGTCGAAGATATAGGGGAGGAAGGGGACGACTGCTAGGCCGAGCTGTCATTGCATTTGCATTAGTAGCTGTACTGGACTGCCTTACGCTGCTGGGGAAGGGAGGAGACGTACACCGATAGGCGTCCAGGTCCGCATAAACACGTTCTTGTTGTTCTTCATCATTTGCCCGGAGTACTTGACCACCGAGTGGATCGTGAACGCCGGCAGCCCCATGCTTGCGATGCTCTGGAACACGGCCCGCTTGACCATTACCATGCGGTAGTCCTCGATGAGGGGGATGCGGGTTGTGGGCCAGGGGGCGAGCTCAGCGCCAGCGCTGGCGCCGCCCATGTCGCCTGTTGCCATGCCCATGACGACCTCGTTGGCCGAGAGGTCCTTGGCGTCCTTGTAGGCCTCGCCAGATGGGGCGAGGACGTGCCGGTTGCGCAGGTAGGCTTTGTAGCCTTCGTGGGCGACATCGCCGAGCAGATAGGTCCAGGAGATGCCGTAGGCGGTGCGCACGAGGTAGGGGTGTGCGACGGGGCGGAAGGACTCGCCTATGTCGGAGGTGTAGGCGACGTAGCGGTGGGCGGAGAGGAGGATGGTGCGAATGCGGTTGACGTAACCGGCGTAGCGGTAGGGGGTGTCGGTTGAGTCGACGGAACTGTCCATGTTAGATGATGGGTTTATCATTGCGTTGAGGTGGTGAGGAGGTCGTGGGTAGGAGTGGTGGTGAGGTTTGTAGGAGAGAAAAGAAATTCATTATTTCTTGAATTGAATCTTTTGCGGGGACAGGCGGAGATGATGATGCCATAGTTCCGCAGAGTAAACTTGGACACGCGACACAGAACGGCCACTTTGGAGGAGTAGCGACTGGATATGCCAGGAGACAACATACTATGGAGGGTAGATATCATCATAGAAGCCATCATCTTGATCAACTATTTTCTGAAGCTGAGCAGGAAGCTTCTCGCGGGGTATCGGTGGCTGCGGCGTGTCTGCGGGAGTCCCATCGTGATGATCACGCTTCCTCCAGAACATGCTTTCAATTTGCGAAAAAGAAAATGAGTGACTTGATATCAATGAAGATCTGGACTGAAGGGTATATGCGTTCCGTATGTACAGTGATAGCCAGGCGAGGCAAGTAACCGTACGAGGGAAGCTACAAGCTACAGGTACAGAGCAAAGTAAAGTTGAAAAGAATGGATAAACTCGATGGATGGACAGCCAGGAAGTGCTCCGGAAGAACAATATATTCTCTCATTTAATTCTTTTCCTCTGATTTGTCCTCCTCAGTAACCGCAGCGGCACCCGAACTGCTGCACAGCACGCAGTAGCCGGGGTAGTATTGAGGAGACGGAGTAATTCATCCCAGGCTGTAGGTATCTTTGCCCCGAGGTTCAATCGGGTGCTTCCCTTGGTCCAGTGCCCTGCACTGCCACTCTGTGTCCTTTCCACAAAAGATTCATGTCAAGTGATGCTGTGCTTGTATTGATAGCTCTAGCAATAAATTGTAGCATATACTTCAGCTTATATCCTGTAAACCATTGTTCATTGGTGGTTGTTGGCTGTTTATGCTCTCCAAGTCTTATGATGCGGTGCCGCGGATCTTCCCGAATCCGTCTTCTGATTCGGACCGCGCCGGAACATCACATGATCTTAAGCAAACCTATTATGTCATGCATTGTACACGTGATGTCACGGGACCTCTAAGGCAGCTCTAACCAAATGAGGTAAAGGCCAAGCCGCGCAGTCAACTTCCATCGCTGCCGGCTTTCACGATTGCTTCCGCAGGACCTATTATTCGCATTGCTCCATTCCCCGCGTCTATCCTCTTCTTTCAAATCTACTCCAATCCATCATCATGGTTGTCTACTACCAGATTGCCGGCAAGCAGGTCGGCTCCCACGTCGTACGTTCCCCCCGGTCTCTCTCGTCATGTCGTCGTGAAGCTCCTATAGCCGAACAGGAGTCAAGTCGCTGATGACATTGAAATTGGCTTATGCTAATTTTGATCAATTTTATAGCTCGCCATGGGCGTCATGGGCACCCTGTTCGGTGGTATCTACCTCTCCACTCGCGGTGGTGGTCAGAAGAAGCAGGCTACTCCTCCCATTCAGGCCTCTTCCAAGGACGAGGAGAAGTTCATCCAGTATGTTTGCGTCCACTCTACACATATGTTGTTCAACGTTGCTGTTCCAATGACCCGCAACGATCTCCAATGGCTTCGATGGCCTTCAATGGCATGCCGACTCTCCACACTATCATTTGAATCGCCGACACAGCAAGCTGCTTGCGACAGGGGCTAACCGCGGTCATCACAGGGACTTCTTGAACCAAGTAAACGGAGAGCAAAAGAAATCGGATCATTAGGGTGTCCCCCTTTGACGATAGGGACTCAGTCGAGGACGCCTTGCTGATGCACGACGAAAAAGAAATTGAACGCGAGATATATCCATCATGGAAACGATTCTATAACTGGATGATTCGTGCGATAATAGACGGGATCCGTACAGTCGTGTGTCGGGATTCGCTAGTGATGGGGCTCAATGGCTGTGCCAGTGGTGCTGATGATCTGTACATGATAGAGCTATACGCCATTTGAGGCTGTTTCCTTCAACTCCGATACCAGATGACTCGCACGTGGAGATCTCTCTGCTCTTGAGGATCCATCAGATCCAGAGGATCTTAGTACACTGAGCAGAATGACATAGCTTAGAAAATTAATGTAGACGGCTTCATAGCATGCAGCAACTCACAAGCAGACAGGTGAGGGAGTGCAAACAATGAGTATATCATTAGCGGAGGCCGAAAAAGCGATTAGACAGCATTCATCGAATCAAAGATCTATTTATAGTTCATTTTCCAGTACCCTCATCATGATTCAGTGTTATTCAGGGTTTCACTTTTGCTTCCAACCAACAGACCTCAGTCACATGATCTCAAAATACAAACGGCGTCTCCAAACCTGTTCCACAGAGATCAACTCCTAACTCTACGATATCGAAACCACCTATGAAACTAACTCCCTTCCCATACTCCCTCAATATAGGGACGGACATCGTTCATCTCCCCCGAATTCTCCGCCTCATCAACCGTCCCGACTACCTCCACCGCTTCACCCGGCGGATCCTCCACGAACAGGAGCAGCAAGACTTCCGCACCAGATTCTCCCTCCTACCACCATCATCCGGCGCAGAAAAGCCCGGCCCCAAACCAATAACACCGGACATGGCGCGCTGGCTGGCAGGTCGCTTCGCCGCAAAAGAGGCAGCACGTAAAGCTGCTCCCACCGGCGCGGCGTCCCTCGGATGGAAGGATGTTATTGTTAGGGTTGGTGAGGCTGATCAGGGTAGACCGGAGATTGTGTACTTGGATCCTTTGGGTGGTGGGAAAACTGGTGAAGGTAGAGTAGGCAAGCTGTCTATCTCGCATGATGGGGATTATGTGGTGGCTACGGTGCTTGCGGCTGGTTGAGGTCGGTCCCGGTCGAAGGTTATTGATACCTGGTTCTTTTCGGATGGAATGATGCTACGGATAGGCCTTCTTTGGATGAGATGGACATCTACGTGTCTCATGCGAGGAACACGAGGGCCCATCTGCTGGTGTCCCGCGCATGGTTCAGGGATTGTCGAAGGTTTCCACCGCGCACCATGCCCTGGATTTATGATCCTGAATACTGTGCTGCATACGCGAGCGCTTCAGATTGACAAGAGAATGTCTATGACGATTGGACAAGCTCGGCAGGTCACCAACAGCTAGGTTTTCGACTTGACGGGTGGTGGGAGGCCGCCCAATCTGAAACAATCTTGTGACTAGTTTGAGAAAGGCTCACCTCATGCAAGAGCCTAACTTCGTGGGAAGGTTGCTCCCCTCACCGAGTTGCAGATGATTCTTATTCATTTTTTTCTGCAAGAGTTTCAGGTGAGAAGGAGTGGCGGTGCATACCGTGGATAAGATCTTCGGCATCATTTTCCTCAAGTGGGCCTGCAATAAAGATCCCAAAGTCGGGCTCAACATTCAGATACAACAAATCCGGGATTTGACCGGTCCATGATCTGCCCCTCGGCGTGCGCGAGATTCTCTTGCTCTCTTTATCCCCTGAGGACTGTGATGTAATAAGACCAAGTTCGATAACACGTCCATCCGTCTAGGCACGACTCGATCAGACTGCCCCAGGATGAGCGACAAAGATAAGGCTATGCGAACACTGGTAGGAGAGGCTACGGCACAAGCCAAGTCGAGAACTCGAGACGTTCAACTGCCATCTGAGTGCAGTGGAAAGAATATTGTGATTAAGTATCCTGGATGAATGACATGGCATCACTTCTATCTTTCTGACTAATGGGATTTCTGGGTATTGGCCACAAGACAACAATGACTTGTCTTGTAATATACAGTATAGATGTAGAGTAAGAGAATACTCAAAAGCAATGTTGTGAAAAGTGCAAAAAAGGTATCAGGTCTGAAGATGGATGATAGTGGGTCAGCGGAGTTGTATCATCTCTTTTTTTCTTCGGCTTGTTGCAAGCTTTCAGATTTACACTTGAGCATCAACCGTCGTTGGTCTGTCAAGACAGATCCAATAAAAATTTCCCTAGTATCGATTTGATATCAATATATTTATATCCTCGGAGCTTGGTTCCAGTATCTCAGGGCGGGGCATCTCTCCCCCCCACGCAGTCTGAGAACAGCGTTACATTGGTTGTTTGTTCTGACACATGCATACTACTTCTATCAATTAAATCCGCCTCTAATCTATACTGTACTGCTTCAGGCTTTGTTACTTCTACATCATCAGCTCGTCGTCTAATTGACTGTCTTCTATTACACGCTCTCCCTCAATACCTGTGCAGCCATGCCGTTCTCACATCACAGCCATTCGGGCCAGTTCTGCCCCGGCCATGCCAAAGACGTTCTCGAGGAGATTATCCAATTGGCCATCTCAAAAAAGTTCAAAGTCTTCTGTCTGACCGAGCACATGCCCCGAGCGAAGGAAGACTTTTACCCGGAAGAGGTACTCCCCAAGGACGTTTATTCCAACCCACACCACTGACTCATCAGATCGAAACCGGCAACACCGAAGCCGCCCTGATCGCCAACGAAGCTGCATACTTCGCAGAGGCCGTCCGGCTGCGCGAGAAATATGCAGACCAGATCCAGATCCTCATTGGGTTCGAGATTGACTGGATTCGGCCCGAGTCACGGACCCTGATCGAGCAGAGCCTCTCGAGGTTCCCATTCGAGTTCTTCGTAGGATCCGTGCATCATACGCTGACCGTTCCGATTGACTATGACCGGCCTATGTATGAAAAGGCCAGAGAGCTGGCCGGCGGCACGGACGAGCGTCTGTTCGAGCGCTACTTTGACGAGCAGCTGGACATGCTGACGCAGCTGCGGCCGCTCGTCGTGGGGCACTTTGATCTAATTAAATTGAAGAGCGATGATCCCGAGCGCAGCTTCAAGCAGTGGCCTGGAGTATGGGAGCGGATTCTGCGGAACCTGGACTTCATCGCAGGGTACGGGGGCATGCTGGAGCTGAACTCTGCTGCGTTGCGGAAGGGGATGAGCGAGCCTTATCCCAAGGAGGAGATTTGCAGAGTGAGTCCCCTCGTTGTTTTCTGTGGTAGGATGGTGACTGACGGTAGTAGGAATTCCTGGCGCGAGGAGGCCGGTTTGTGTTTTCGGATGATAGCCACGGGCTGGACCAGGTCGGCTTCAATTTCCACGGGGTGCTGGCGTTCATGGAGAAGGCTGGTATTTCGACTTTGCATTATCTCGAGCTGGGGGATGAGCAGGCGGTGGACGAGCGGTTTCCGCGGACACAAATCCGGTCGATCCATGTTGATGAGTTGAAGAAGTTGCCTTTCTGGCAGTCTAGCTAGACAGACTGCTCTGATCATCGGATCGGCAGATCAAACCAATGCACAGCTGCACCGACACTTATCGCAGACATGAAGCATTGAACCTAGATACTCCATACGACAACAAATTACCATCCTAAAGTGTTAACCTCCGGACCCAAGTATCGGCCTTTTATGAAACGATTACATCAAGTCCACCCAACATGACCTCAATCTCCTCCTCCACCTCCTTCTACACCCTTCACTCTCCTAACCTCCAATCTATCATAGAACCTTTTCTACAATAACCCCGCATTCTAGCGCTAGTCATACAATGGGCCTCGAGAAACAAACACTCCGAATGGGCAATGGCAAAGACCACCCTCAGCCCGGCGACCCCGTCGAGCTCAACTACACCGGCTATCTATACGATGAATCAAACCCAGACCACCATAAAGGGAAGGAGTATGTACAAATCCCTGTAACGGAACACTTGTGTGGAAGCGAAAGCTAGCTAACTCCTCTCTTCATCAGATTCGATAGCTCGAAGAGACGCGGCCCGCTGCTGGCGACTATTGGTGCGGGGGATGTTATTCGGGGTACGTCGCTTCATTTTACTCTCACATTCTACTATTGCTGGTATATGGATGGATGGTTGATAATGGCTACAGGCTGGGACGAGGGCGTTCCGCAGATGAGTCTTGGGGAGAAGGCGATTCTGACGATGAGTGGGTATGGCTCTGCTTCTGCTTTCGCTTGGATTTCAGGATTTATGACGCTGACGTTGGCTAACCGATGCGGGTAGGGAGTATGGGTATGGAGAGAAGTATGTTCATGTTCATTTCATGTCCTCGTTTAAGGGAGTGGAAGCCGAATAGGGTAGTCTAATGGGTGTGCTAGGGGCTTTCCGGGGTTGATTCCGCCGAATGCTTCGCTTGTTTTGTGAGTTTCTATTCCAACTCGGTTGGATTGATTTGGGGATGATGCTGATATGATGCGTTGATAGTGAGGTCGAGCTTCTCAAGATTAAAGACCATGGTCTGGATTAGGGTTGATCTGGGAAGTGATCAATGATGGCGTGGTTTGGATGGACCGCATGTCTGCGTCAGTTTTGTAACTGACTGTCAGATTAGATCTCTGATAGACAGAAGAATAGATGAGTTACATGAACGGACTTGATTGACTGGATCATCAACCCTACGTGATCTGGTTTGCGAATAGCTTGCCAGTTGACCACCAGTTGACCACCAGTTGACCACCAATTGCTCCCAGTTGGCTGGCGCTCACCAGTTGACGGAATCCGCCATTTTGTCTCTACTTTTTTCGACCTCTATGTCCGCACTTGTAACTCTGTCACGTTGCCCTGATAGATATGGGTTGGATCTCAATCTGGACGGGTCCTAGCTCTATCGTGCAATACTATTGATATAATCCATCCCCTCCAAGCGGTAGTCATCCCGCTCCAC